GAGATTCTTCTTCTACAGGTTTACGCAGCCATGATCTGATCAACCTGGAGGGAGGAGAAGGGGACACTGATATCGAAACTAATGCTACTGACTAAATTCAAGTAAAACTTGATTGAGAAAAACCTTGGTTGTGAAAGAAGAGCCCCTTTTACAGTGGCCCAGAGACGGTCACTCTGATTGGGAAAGGCCTTCATTAAGCGGCCCATCTGAGTCTCCACCTCGGCATTCAAATCGGTTGATGTGGAAGGCCAGAAATTTGAACAAACCATGAGAATGCTGACAAGGAGAAGTGCGATAGTGACAGGCCATAGAAATTTATGTGCACCAGACCCAACTCTGGAATTCTTAGGGGTAGAACAATCTTCCGAGGCTGAGACCTCACTATCGAAAGATGAAGAAACTCGATCCTCAGATGCAGTACGATGAGACACAGAAGTTTCACTAGAAGGCTCCGTGAATTGCGATCTCGTTGAGCGGACCGCTTCTCGCGATGGAGACCAAGACTAAAAAATGAAAAACAATGAGTTAAAAGAATATGCATCCAGTTTTCTCGATAAAAAAAGATTTAGTCAAGGTTAAGGAAACCAGCTGTTGTAACGACAGGAAGAGCTACCCAGGACGCCATAGCCAAAGGATATAAAATTGAGAAAGAAGATCAAGAAATCAAGTCCAGCAGTTCCAAATCATATCATTGAATTTTATATGACAATCCAGGCATTATATTTGCAATTAGCTATTTTCTATTACGATATAAACGCGTCAGTGAGGATTTCCTTTTGATGAATAAAGCCTCCCCTCTTGACAAGAGGCATTGGGAACTGAAGTGTGAATGGGAAGACCTAGCAGGTCAGCGGCGTAGGAAAGAAATGCATTGGGTTCGAGGGAGCCATGAAGACCCAGAGTGGAAGGTACAAGTTCGGTTGAAAGGTCAGCTACAATGGGAGTGGCATTTCCCTTCTCCTTTGTTAAGATGGATACTTCCTCGGACTGCTGCGTCTGCTTTTGTTGCAATAGTGGTAACGGAGAAGGAGCAGAAGTAGTTAACTGTGTAAGGGGATCATTTGGCAAGAGAAAAACTCTTCCATGAAGAATTTTGTATGATATATCTGATGACTGGTCTGAGATATCAGGCGATGACTGCAAACCCTGAGTTGGAGTGGTTCGAGAGACATTACCTGACAACTATAAACAATAACGACCATCAGTCTACGGAATGGTGGTTCAAGAAATGGATGAACAATGATGTCAAATCTTCGCTCAAGCCAAAATTAATTCAAAAATACAGGCAAGATATGAAGGTAACTTTAGAAAATAAACAACTGAGAAGACTCACAGTATCCGACATAGGTGAAAAAGGCGTTTTAATAGCAAAACTATCAACTGCCTCATTTATTTTTATTGGGTTGCCGGAAAGTTGACGTAAGCTATGCATTTCAATCTTGAGACGATTGTCCAGTTCAAGCAGGAGTTGCTTGATTGCCTCCAGTTTACGAATTCGTTCACATGAAACATTCTCAAGCTGTCGAGCTAGCTCAAATGGTTTCCTTCTGCGAATGGACATGGCTACAGTAGAGATAACAACGATACGGACGTAGAATAATATAAACGATAAATAACTCATATGTCATGCAAGGCAGCGAGAAAAAGTACAACAATTTTAGAGGATCATGTCAGCAAAGTACTACACGCCTAATGCTTAGCTTAGGTTACCTAAAAACCATACTCGTGCACTAGCCATCGGTGCAAACCGCCAAACACGCCTCACCTGTACGCCGAGGAAGTTAAAGT